CGCGTCACCAATGGCCGCGCCCGCGCCCAGGATCGGGCCGGCGCTCCCGCCATCCGTTAGGTCACCTTAGGTTTAAACAGCGCAGCACGACTTCCGGGGGGCCCACCCGCTCTGCTGCTCCCAGACCAGCCCCCCAGGCCAAGGCCCCTCTTATTTCCCGGCCAAGTCAAGAAAATAAAATGCTAGGATCCACCCTGTAGTCTGAAAGTACTGCACTGCCGCCTTTTTCTTAACTCTTCCAATACTACAGTTAAGCCCATTAGAAATATGATGGCCATTCTTATTAGCCAGGGTCCGCTTTGCATTTCAGGACCGACTAGAAAAACACCTGGGCATCTTAAGTTAACCACATTTTTATGCAAAATGGGAATGGGGGAGAAGCAAGTGAGGGGATAGCGTTGTTAACGTTGATCTGGGAAATTACAGGTTCTAGAACTGCGCCTCCATCCCTGATGCTCCGATCCGTGGCAGTGAACCTTTCCGCTCGGTGTTTGTCTTTGACTTTGGTGTGGCTGGTGTTCAACAAGATGTGGTAAAGGAAACAACATCAATGGCTGTGCATTAAAGCTCTCCTTTATTACAGTGACAAAATCACTGGGCAAATGCCTCCATCCTGCCTTGCCTCTCGGCACGTGAATTGCTGTTCTGGCTGGACAAATTTTAGATCAGTGAAGTCTCATACCTCCACAAAACCAGAAGAACCTAGTATTAAACTCATCTCTCCTGCAGGCAGCCACTAGTCCTGTTTTGCTGAATCTTTCACCTTTCTTTCTTTCTTTTTTTAATCCTCACCCGAGGATATTTTTCCATTGATTTTTAGAGAGACGGAAAGACAGAAGGAAATATCAATGTGAGAGAAACACATCGATTGGTTGCCTCTGCACGTGCCCCGATCAGCACCCAGGGGACGAACCTGCAACCTAGGTACCTGCCCTTGACCAGAACCAAACCCGGGACCCCTTGGTCTGCAGGTCACTGCTCTATCCACTGAGCCAAACCTGCTAGGACTATCCTTCACCTTTCTACAAGAACTGGGCAATGTCTTCACAAGTTTCCTTCAACTCACCATTCTACTAAGAACTGAATCCCCTTTTTAGCACCACATTCATTTTTCCCCACCCACAGCCACCTGTTGGCTCTGCGTGTTTTCCTTTCTTCTGTGGTTCCCAGGTTCTCAATTGCCTGTAGCTACTCTATCTCAGCTTACTGTCCTTCAGCCTGCAGCCCCTACTTTCTTCCTGGGATACTCAGTTCTGGCTTTCCTCTGGAGTCAGGTTACTGGGAACACAAGTTGTCCTTGGCCACGTTGCAATGGCATTGTGGCTCCACCGGTCTCATGTGTGCCTGTCCCCACTCGGCAGCAGGGTGGGCCTCTGGGGCGCCTGACCTGTGCAGTGGCACCTTGTCAAGGGCTCAGGAGAGCCTGTACTTGGTTTAATGCTCTAATTTTTGAACAAGGAGCCCTGTGTCTTTGCTTTGCGCTGGGCCTGTAAATTATGCAGCCAGTCCTGCTCAGCAGCTTGTGTCCTGCTGTGCTAGGGCCTCACCTTGCAGAAGCAAAATAGACGGAGGTGAAAATCCTTGAGCTGCTTTGCCCCAAACGAATCGGATAGCCATAACAGAAGTGGAGTTTAACAAAAATGCTTCATGATGTGCAGAACATCGGAGATCAATGGGCCTCAATATGGAACTGACGTTGGGGTAGCTTTAGGAGTTATTGTAAGGATGTCCTCAATGCATGTGTCACCTACCCATGACACAGTCCTGGCAAGGTTGTTAAAGGTAGGACATGGACAGGAACCAAGGGATTGGGGCCTCTTTAAATCCCCTCCTGAACTATGAGTACCTATTTGGATTCTGGAACCTGTTCTCATTGCCTGGGTTTTATAATCTAGGCCCCGGGCTTCAAGGTTAGTTACAGGATGAATAATCCCTTTGTTTATGGGAATTGCTTATGTTACAGTTTCAGAAAATTGCCAGAATTCTGCAACAAAAAACCAGGAGAGACCCAGCTACAGCTTGCATTCTGGAAGCAACCTCCTAACCAACAAGATCTTGGCAATGGCGAAAATGGGGATGTCATGGATCAGTGTCCTCTGCACCCACCTCATCGGCTCTTGGCCAAAAGGGAGGCCCGAGACAGAGCAAAGCAGCCCCTGCTGTCCTGGAACAGCCACACACTTTCCTGTTGAACATAAGCAATTCCCCCAGAATATCCACATCAAATAAGGCCATCCTCTGAGCAGCAGGAGACAAGACAAAAACAGGACCACTCCATGCCCTAACTGGTTTTGCTCAGTGGATAGAGCCCTGGCCTTCGGACTGAAGGGTCCCAGGTTCAGTTCCAGTCAGGACTCGATCCCCAGTAGGGGGCGTGCAAGAGGCAGCCAATCAATGATTCTCATCCTTGATGTTTCTCTCTCTCCCTCTCCCTTCCTCTCTGAATTCAATAAAAATATATTTTAAAAAAAAAAGCCACTCCAGAATCATGTCTGAACATAAAGAACATGTGAACGTGAACCTTGTCCAACCACAGATATCACCAAACACCCCCAATCCTGGCTAATGAGTGACTGCTGCTTCTTTACCCATCACAGCCTCTGTCTAGTCTTCCCTGCTTCCAGATGGCATTGATTAAGGCACCCAATCATAGAATTACCCTGCCCCCAGTCTTGAGCAATGCCCGGCTTCCTGAAATGCTCCCCCAAACACTTAATACGGGCCCAATCCTATATGTGGTCCTACCTGACACCCTCTTACTGTGATGCCCCACGGTGCCCCAAGGTGTGCGTTCTCCCTCGCTGCAAGGAAAAGAAGGCCTGCGTGTTCCACTCCAGGTGTGTTCCTGGGGGTGTGACTAGAGGGCAGGGCCAATAGTGACTAAAATGAAGTCAACGCTGAAGGTGAAAAACCATAGGTTTAGTGCCAAAACTCACACTCACAAGGACCCATCTGCTTATTCAGCCACACTTGACCATCTGCAACAGAGTTGTTGTGTTTTTATTGATTTCAGAGAGGAAGGGAGAGGGAGAGAGAGATAGAAACATCAATGATGAGGAGAATCATTGATCAGCTGCTTCCTGCAGGCCCCACACTGGGGATGGAGCCCGCAACCCGGGCATGTGCCCTTGACCGGGAATAGAACTGTGACCTCCTGGTTCATAGGTCGACGCTCAACCACTGAGCCCCACCAGCAGGGCTGCAACCGAGTTTTATAAACTCTGAGGAGGAGCCACACTGTCCTGCAGTTAGCAACAGTAACTACCAACCGGGAAGAAGGAAGTCAAAACGGGAAAGATCCCTCCATTAAAAAGGAGAAGGTGGTGGTGGCAGAAGCGGGGAGGCAAAGTGCTAACTGGACGCTGTCCCAGGCTGTCAGATCCCAGAGGCCAGTCATGGTGCTGCTGTCCCCAACCTTCCTTGTGAAGAGAGGTAGGGGGCTGGCAGCCACTAGTAGCTGCACCTGCCATCAAAGCCAGAACTTTGTTTTGCTGTTTTGTTTTCTTTGCTCTTTCACCAGTCCACTGGGGACCCTTGGAGACGTTCTGCCTCCCTGCCCACTGCGTGCAGCTGTGATGAAATCACTTCCTTTCTTTAAAAACCTGGCCTCAGTTATTAGGGTGAGAATGGTTGACAGAAATCTGGATGACTCCCCCGCCATTTTGCAGATGAATGTGGGCTTCACCCAGCTAGTTCAACACGATGACATTTCTGATTAAGAAGAGTGTGTAACTGAGAGGGGCCTGGACTATTTGGCACAGTGTTTCCAACTGAGCTGCACACTAGATCACCTGGAAGCTTTAAAGCCTACCCCTGCTTGCACCCCAGCCCATGAGGTCCAGCCTGGGCATCGGCCTTGTTTACACCCACACACACACACACACACACACACATAAAAACAGCCCTAGCTGGTTTGGCTCAGTGGATAGAGTGCCAGCCTGAGGACTGAAGGGTTTGATTCTGGTCAAGGGCACATGCCAGGGTTGCGAGCTCAATCCCCAGTGGGGGGCGTGCAGGAGGCAGCCGCTCAATGATTCTCTCTCGACATTGATGTTTCTATATCTCTCTCCCTTCCTCTCTGAAATCAATAAAAATATATTTTTAAAAAACACACAACCCCGGCCAGTGTGTACAGTGGTTAGAGCGTCAGCCCATGAACCAAAGGGTCTCTCATTTGATTCCTGGTCAAGGGCACCTGGAATGCAGGTTCATTCCCTGGCCCCAGTCGGGGCGCGTGCAGGAAGCAACCAATCGATGTGTCTCTCTCACATCGATGTTTCTCGCTTTCTGTCCCTCCCTTCCTTCCACTCTCTAAAAATCAATGGAAAAAAATATCCTCCAGCAAGGATTAACAAAATAACAAAAACAAACAAGTAAAACAACAGGAGGTGCCACTGTAAAGCCACAGGCGCCACTGTCAAATCAGGAAGCCGTGAGGCCCTAGCTGGTTTGCTCAGTGGATAGAGCATAGGCCTGGGGACTGAACGGTCCCAGGTTTGATTCTGGTCAAGGGCACATGCCTGGGTTACAGGCTTGATCCCCAGTGGCGGGGCGGGGTGTGCAGGAGACAGCCGATCAATGATTCTCTGTTTCTATCTCTCTCTCCCTTCCTTTCTGAAATCAATAAAAAAACACTTTTTTAAAAAAAGGTGGAAGCAGCCAAATGTCCATCAAGTGATGAGTGGATAAGCAGAATATTATTCAGCCTTGAAAAGGAATGAAGTTCTGACCCAGGCTATAGCACAGATAGACCTTGAAAACGTGCTGTGTGAAAGAAGCCATTTGAAATGTCCAGAATAGGTAAGTCCATAGAAATGGAAATCGGGTCAGTGGGTGCCAGTGTCCAGGGAGGAGAGAAGGGAGGTGACTGCTTGATGGGAATGGGTTTCCTTTTGGGGTGATGAAGATGTCTTGGAAGTACAGTGGGGCCTTGACTTACGAGTTTAATTCGTTCTGAGACCGAGCTCGTTAAGGAGCTCGTTAACTCAAATTACTCTATCAACTCAGTGCAAAAAATCCGCCGAGAGACGCTGGTATCTCAAAAAACTCGTTAGTCGGGACACTCGTAAGTCAAGGCCCCACTGTAGATACAGGTGGTGGTTGCCCAACATTGTAAATGCAATAAATGTCAGTGAATGTTTTACTATAAAGTGGCTAATTCTATGTTATGTGAATTTTACCTCAGTTTTTAAAAAGCTTGTAGCCAAACCAAGTTTTCAAGGTAAAGCTGCACAGAAATTTATTAAGTGAATTTCATCACCTGAACTTCCTCACCT